CACTTAGTTTTTAGGATTGTCTGAGTTCTTTATTGTAGAGAAACTGAAAACCGACTGTTTTGAAATAAGTTAGTCATTAACTTTAATAAAGCATAAACCCTTTATTCTCCAGGGAACAATTTTGTTCAGCAGTTCTTTTACATAGACAGTTTTGAGTGACCATTAATATCTTCGCTTTTAATTATGATCAGGACTCAGTATGCCTGCAAATGAAAGGTTGGATTTTCAATGTGGGCCAGAAGGCACACCATACAGAAAAATGTCCGTCCCGATTGACCAATAAGTTTAAGTTCAGTCAGGAAACAAAAGTATGTACTTCTTTCAGTGTTTGAGATGTCTTCTTATCAATATCAACTTTAGGATTTTAAAGTTGTAATTAAAAGATATCCAGGACTTATCATGCCTAGTTAGGGTATAGTGTACCATGGAACAACAAATCTAGTATACAAACTGTGATCAAAATATATGGGGAATGCTTAAATTTAAAAAAAGTATTACAGTAAAAGACACACTGTCATTAATATCCCTCAAAATATTCCTCTTGACTTTGAACTCACTAGTCCCATTGTTATTGCCACTTTCTGAAGCAGTTCTGGAAGTCCTCTTTTGTGAATATCTTTAGTTGAGATGTTGTGGCTGCTTTGATGATCTGAACTGATTCAAAACCTTGACCTTTCATGCTCATGTTGACACTGGAAAAGAGCCAAAAGCTGAACAGTGCCAGACTTGTGAATAAGGTGGATGAGGACACACCGTAATATTTCACAAGCCTGCCTCTCGGTTGGACGGCACTCAGCAGCAGCATCCACTGTATGTTTGATCATAACTCGTAAAGTCACTCCTGAAGGAAGAATTCCAGAACTGCTTCAGAAAATGGTAAGAATGAAGGAATAAGTGTGTTCAAAGCAAGGGGAAGTAGTCTGAGGGGTCTTTATGGCTTAATTTATTTTGATACAATAAATTTCTTTTTAATTTAAACATCCACTATGTTTACTGATCACCCATTTACATTCATTCAGTCTTCTTCGTTTCCCGTGGCATTGCTTGATCTACTCCTTTCCCTTAGACTGAATGTCAAGAACTACTCACCCGATGTGAGAAACTGAAAGTGTAAATAAGGACTGAAATGTATAATAGGTAATGTGAAATAGGAAGAAAAGGGGCAAAGGGGAAGGAGGTGGGAGGGGTAGGGGAAAGGAAAGAAGGGAATGGAATTAATATGAGAAAATGGAAAAATAGGAACAAAATCTTTGTAAATAGGGAGGAATGGAGGGGTTAAAGGGAGGGCTGGCAAGGGTGAAAGATGGGAACAAAGAGAGACTATGTAAAGGTACAAATTTCCAACAATGAATGTCATTATATTGTATACCTAAAATGTACCGTTGATTAGAATGACTAATCGATAATGCAAAATAGGAAGAAAAGGTCCAAAGGGGTAGGTGTAGTGGGAGGGGTGGGGAAAGGAAAGAAGGGAAAGGAAAAATGATGAGAAATGGAAAAAATGGAAATAAAGTCTTTGTAAATAGGGAAGGGTGGAGGGCGTGAAGGGAGGGCTAGGAATGGGGAAAAAATAAGAACCAAGATGCATTATGTAAAGGTACAATTCCCAATGAGAAATGTAATTGTGTTGTATACCTACAATGTACCAATAAAAGAATTTAAGAAAAAAAAAAAGAACTACTCACCTGAGGTGGACAGCTTTGAGACTGATGAAACTGCTGGGTTTGTGGTAAAGGGAAAAACTTGAGACTGTGTATTGTAAAAATTCAGGTTCTTGCAATTTCTAATTTCAATTTTCTAGTTAGCAGATTTCCTACATTGTGTATGCCTCTGTTTCTCTATGTATTAAATGAGGATATTTAGATGTCCTGGTCCAACTATGATGTGGGTTAAGTAGGTTAATATTTTTAAAGACCAAAATTATTAGGCTCCCCATCCTATTCCTTCAAATGCTTTTTCTCCAAAATGTCTTCTGGATCACACCTGTCCCTCCACCCTCATTCCAGCTAAGGATAGTCTCATTCTCCCTTAAATTCCAACACTTCATCTTTGTCCCAAGTACTTCACTCTTTCCTGCTTTGTGTTACTTAACAAATTTTTATTGAATCCTCCTTAGGTCCCAAGTTTAGGTACATATATTAGGTACATATAGTTTTTTCTTTTTTGTCTTTGGTCCTTAAGCTTCTCAGGGTTAGACCCTTCACAAGTATTTGTCTTCCCTCTTCCCTCTCTATTGCACTTACAGTGCTTGAACATAAATGTTTCTGTTAATAGTTGTCAAAACTGGCCAATATATAGTGTGGACAATACAGGTGTATCTCTTTTCACACATGTCAACATCCTCAAACAGTACCGCATGTTGGGAATGGCGCTTACATGCCAGTGCCTAGGAATATCCTCCTCCTCATTATCAATTAATATAACAATAAAGGAATAGATTTTGTTCCCATTCCTCCATGAGTCCTTGGAGCACTTCCTGCTAGACCAAAAGATGATTTCCAAAAAGAAGAGGTGAATGAATGAATAAGCTGAATGATGTTACTGTGGAATAAGGGCAAATCTAAGCAGGTTTTGAAAGAACTATAGCTTATGAATGAATACTCATATATATAACATATATCATGGCTAGATGAAATTCTAAGGTTTCACGGGAAATCACACAATTTCAAACGAGGCTGTGTGTATACAACACCAAGTCATCCAAATGAAGCCTTAAGCAAATCATTCAGGAATGTGGCCTTTGCTAGTCCATTCAAGTCTTCACTGAAAAGACATCATGTGGTTCTGACCCTATTTTACTACTCACGGAAAAGCTGGGCTGTAGTGAGGTCTCACTATCAGTGGTTGCCCCTAATCAACCACAAGCTGGGAAACCAGGAAGCCAAACGAGATAATTGCATTTAAAGTAAGAGCAATAAGGCTATGACTTCAGGTCAAAAGGAGCATCCTACAAGTAGAAGTAAATATAAGCATTTAAGTGGATGCTTCTTTATGATGGATTTCTTTTTCTGTCCAAAATGGAGAACAGGAATGTTTTCCTTTCCAATGAAAGGAAACAGGACTCTAAAATATCCCATGGAACAAGCACTGTTTGTCAGATTATCTGTTCTTTCCCATTGCTGAGTTTCCTCAGAGAGAAAGTAAATGTAAAATTTCTTAAATAGGCCCTCATGCGTTTACCTGTGGCAGGTGTCCTGGCTGCAATAGATCACATGAGACTTTAAACAGAAGTAGGTTCACGAACACAGTGTCTCACATGGCTTGAAAATCCAGAAGTCCCAAGAGATGCTGGCTTTTGGGTCTCCCATGGCCACCACTCACAACTACCTTGGTGCTCTACAGTCATGGCCAGTAGCTTTTCAGTTCACTTGGGATAAGGAACTAGGAGACAGAGTTCTGGAACAGGTCCTCAGTGTGAAGGGACTGAATGAGAAATGTGCCCCTCTTCTTCATATGTGCAATCCGTCCTTGGATGATGCCAACCAGGAGCCTCCATTTGCTTTATGTTCTTTATCATTTTGCCACAGTGATGGACATTAATGAATATCTGGTGCACCCGTGGTCCAAGCTTCATGGTGCTCCACCCTGCCTTCTCTTTCCTTCTGGAATCACTCAGAAAAGGGTATGTGAGCGGGTGTGGGAGGCTTATTGCCCGAATGCTCCACTGGAAGAATGTGGGAAAGCCAGATGTGAGAGGGACCTCCCCTGAGTGAAGAATATGCAACCAAGAGTCCCAGCACATATTGGAGGGGAATGGCTGCTAACTTAACTCTGGATTTGTAGCATTGTGCTAGCCCACATCCAAGTCAAAATGCCTGTCCAGATTAAATGTCAAACTGCCCTGTTATCATCTCTGATTTTTACTGAGCATCTTTGAAGAAGAAAGAATCCTTTGGGGAGCTAATTGATCCCAGGCCTGAAAATTGGACCTGAATTTCTATGGCTACTTCTGAAGAAAAATTCCAGTATTTTAAATCCAGGTATTACATAATGTTTCAGCTGGAGAATACACGTCAGAACATCACAACAAAAGACAGACTATGTTATTTGACTCTGACAGCACAGAGTAAGTTTTCCATGGTTGCAAGAGGAGTATAGCATGAATTAATGACATAAAATTCACAGTATTTTCAATTGTGAGTAACTCCAGAAAAACTTGTTCAGATAGTAATACTCAGGTAATACTAAAGAGATCATTATAGAATCATCCCAGACCCAAGACACATAAAAACTTTAATATTCACCAACAAAATAAAATGCTGACACATTTGTCTCAGAAAGATCCAAAAATCTTTATGTTTTAGTTCTGCAGAGCATTAGAATTAGACATTCTAATTAATCACTAGAGTTTTATAGGTTTGTATTTTTTGCAAGATGTAAGTTTAATATTAGCAAAGCAGGGTGAGAAGAAATCCCCTGTGCTGAGCATGAGTTCTAAGTTTTTTGCAGATGCCAGATTTCCTATCAAGCGACTGCCAGAAATGGTATGGACCACTAATCTGAAGAATATCACTATTTTCACTTCAACTAAAGTCGGATATAAAATATGCACAAAGTCCAAAAACTGATGGAAAATTATTCCAGCTGTGGCTCTGTCTTATACAAGAAATTCTTTCTTATTTCTGTGGTAAAATCAACACTTCGTGATACCTTAATAATGACTTCCTTTAATATCTGCACATATTCAATAATTAGCATGAAAACATATGACTCTACACTTTTGTATAGAACAGTTTCTGATTTATAGTTTTCAATTGAATGCAATTATAGTTTAAAGAATGTAGGACAATTTTATAATTAAAGGAAGATTTTGCTTAAAATGAGGTAGTTTGTGGTGTGTGTGTGTGTGTGTGTGTGTGTATCTACCATCAGAAATAACATGTCTTCAATGAGAAGCAGGAAATTTACTTTAAAAAATGAATAAAAGGTCAATCTCATTATCACTTCAGTTCTCATTTCTAAAAATTACAAAAATCTATTCAATAAACACTTTCACCTACCTCATAAAATACTGGAGCATTACTGCCAGCAGCTTTTCTTGCCTTTTTAGATGAAACGGTTCTGGCAAGTCCACTTATTTCATTGATCTGAAAGAAAGTTAAATTTACATATCGTGACAAAAATGGCTTAGTTAAGGAATACCTCAATACATGTAACCCTCAAATACCTAGGTAACTGAAGTGGTTGGTGAGCCAACTGCGGAAGTGGTACCCACCAATGAGGTGGAGTGTTTCTAGCCACCTCAGCAAGCTGTTGGTCATTGTGTGGGTTTGTGCCATCTGAGAGAGCTTCTCTATGTTATCGTTCCCCTCTGGTCCCCTGACGGCTGTGATGCTCCTTAGACTTCATTTTCCTATTAGTCATGTACCTTTTCGGGAACCGCATTTAGTCTAGCCTTTTGTTATTGTTTAACATTTTATTAAGCAATTCCTCAGAGAACCTAGCATGGTGCCCAGAACTGGCCACAGAAATCTCTGTCAAATGCACGAATGTTAAATGGGTGACCTTAATGAATGAAAATTACTTTTGCCAAACTAAACAATTCAAATTTATTCTAGTCAAATATTTATTTGAAGTAATGCACCAAAATTTACACAACAGCCCAAGAATATGCAAATTTTAATATTTAAAAAAGTCTCTGAGGGGTACTGAGGAAGGAAAGCACGGTACCTGCTGGAGAATGCCTTGCCATGAAACTATACTGAAGAGTTTGCGCTGAGGGACTTCGACAGCCAAGGTGAGGGCTTGAATGAGAAGATCATCTTCAATCTGGTTACCAACCACAAAAGCAATGGAGGCCTTCCAATCGTTCTGTCACAAAATCAGATGGAATTAGACACTAAATGTTCCCGATCAGGTAATTTTGTGTGAAATGTATTTCCACTGCAAAATGGCACTTTTCTATAAATCTTACCTAGACAGGGTTAACTTTGTAGAAACATGAGTCTTTGAAGCAGCCACAAGGCGGCAGTATTGTGCCAAATTTCACACCACTTGGGTTTAAAACAAAACAAAACAAATTTTTCTTGAGAGAAAAAAAAAACCACAAAATTTTCTTGAGGTCTTTTGAGGAAGGTAATTATTAAAAATGATCCTTTTTCACTACAATGCTTCCCAAGAAGAATTTGTGATTGTAATTCATTCCTCTGTCACAAAAATACGTTAAGATCTAGTCTCAAAAGTGGCAATCTTTGTTTTGTTCCCTGCTACACTCTAAGACTCTACCGCGGGGGACAGAGAAGGAGCTAAAACAAAAAACTCTTAAATTCTGGGTAATATTGAATGAGCTGCCAAATGAGAACTGGAACACATCTCTTCCTCCTAATGTAACACAGGGATATTATTGCTAATTCACAAAGGGGTTCTTTCCATTTCTAAGAAAAGGGGTAAAATATTACACTTGGCCATGAATTTTTCCATCAAATAATTTAAAGAAATATGTTACGGAAGACAATGATCTCATCAATAATTCCTTTCTCTGTGTTTCTTATACTTTCTGTTGGAAGAAGCAGTTTCCTGAGAGACTAGGAGTGGAGCCCAGTGGGTCTCCCGCCGTACGCTGCCTGAAAGAAGCCTGTGCATGCTTTTGAACCAGGAGATGGAGGAAGTGCACAGGACAAAGATGTCAGGTAAGAGAGGCCCGGAGGGGCGGACACTCGGCATGACCTCTCCACATCTTGGCTTCCCCATTTATAAAGTGAAGGCTTTCACAGGATGATATCTGAGCTTCTCTCTAGCTCCTCTCTAGAGATCTGATTTAAACAGAGTAAAACCTGCCCTTGGTGAATGTCAAAGCAATGTCTAAGGAGATTTGAAAAGGTCACACACATTCAGGGAAATGAGTAATTCTGTGTGGTTCTCCCTTTGGTTCAGTCCAACCCATAATCAGGCTGATGCCAGAACAAGGGTGTAGGTGGGAGAAGACCAGTACAAATTCTTTCCTACCCTCAAATAGTGATTGTCCCTAAATTCTTATATTTCTCCATGGAAACTTACCAACTACTTAACAAGAAACATCCAATTTTCAGTGCTACTGCCAAAACAAAACCGTATGTAAAAGCATAAAAAAAGTACCAAGTGTATGTTGTACAAGTTCCATGTACACAAATCTTATGTATGTGCATAAACCTTATTTGTTTTAAGCTTTGCTATTCAGTTTAAGACATTCTTTTTGTTTGTTTATTTGGCATAGGAATACAGAATATTTGTTTTTTAAATGTTCTGGTTCTGAAATGTACGTATGATATTTATAATGTATTATTTAGAGAAAAATTCCATGATCACAAAATGACCTTTCCTGTACTGGATCCCTTCCTTACCTCTTGTCTGCATCTCTAGATGCCATTAAAGGTGGGGAATCTTTTTCATTCTCATGGTAAAGTATACATGGTTCAAGGGCAGGCAAGACCTTAAAGTTTCTGTCAGTTACATTTTTCAAAAATGAAGATTTAATGACCACCTCTACCCACTTAACCAACTGCAAAGTTACTTTGTCTGAACTTGAAAGCTAATGATGACAAGAAAAGGCTGTGTCTGGTCCTTTTGAGACAATTCAGAAAGAGGGCATTGTAGTCCACCACCCACCCAGCCATTCATACCTAACGTCAAAGGCAGGTGTCGACTGTTTCAGATCGAAGAGAAGGGAAGGGGAGGAAGGACAAAACCGTTATGATAAATCTGCCATGTGCCAGTAGAGCGCTATCCCATTGTATTCCTCAGTAACCCCATGAAATAGGTGCACTAATATTTTATACATGGAAAAACAGAGGCCTGATTAAATCGAACAAATTGTTCAATGTCATTTTGGCAGAATCTCATAGAGCCTACATACAAGGCTTACAGCTTTGTGATAATTTCAGGGCAGTTTTGAAAGAAAGAATGCCCTTCCATAATCCTTCAATTGCGTATAACAGATTACTTTAGCATTACTATCTGGGCTACATTACTAATAGATGAAGATTCAAATTACATATTGAAGTGTGTAGAGACTTCAAAAATAGATTATGCATTAAAACCTTAAGACATCGTATTTTAAAAATTAAAGTTTTTTAAATACCAGTTGTACAAAGGATCAGATGCTACAGAAATTCCTCCCAAGTCCTCTCCCTGTCTTTCTGTCTCCCTGTCTCCCTGTCTCTCTCTGCCCCACCCCTCTTTCTCAGCCCAGTGCTTTAGTTTCTTTGCTCCATAATTGATCTTAATACCAGATTATTCTTCCAACTCATGGCAGTACACTAAGACTTGTGAGATCTCTGAGGTTGCCTGGAAACAGTTCTCCTAAGCAAGACCAGGTCCACGTTGCTCAGAGCTCTCTGTGAGATGCACTGGCCATCCAGGGCACATCTCCTCATTTGAAGAGGTTTAGTGTCCAGTTGGGGCCCACTTTCCTGTCTATACTCTCTTGCCCATGAAACACCTGCTCCAGAAATGGGACCTGTGTAGCAGAAGAGGCCCCATGGAGAACTCTGTTAGAGTTAGTTTAGTATCTAATCACATTGCCAGAACCCAACCAAGCATGGACTGGGCCAGAGAGTCACAATGCAAACAGAGAATGCCTGCAGAGAAGGACGTGCACCGCCTGCTGCAGCAGGGGGCAGCGAGATGCTAGGAAAAGCAGAGTGCTCCAATCAGTAAGGAAGAGCAGGTCATTTCCCTTTGTGTAATTTGGAAATCTAGGTAAATAAATGATGCTATGCAATTATAATTTCTGACTTTTACTCTTAGTATTTCAATGTAACTGTAAGTTCCAAACTTCTACACACCGGCAGCAATTTTAGAAATGGGATTTTTTTAAAAAAAAGGCACAAATTAGATTTTGCAAATACTATTAAAAACATCCCATTACCTATATTGCCCCAACACACAGTTGGACAGAGACCTTAAATTGAAGTTCTCAGGGGAGCAAAAGAAATTAAGTATAGAGAAAGCATTGTTGGCCACTGGTAGTAAGAGGAATGTAAGTATAATGTGCACAATCCTATTAAATACACTTGTGAGGACAGGAGTGCTCCTACCTGGGGATGAATTTATTTAAAAACAGTTTAAGAAGTTTGGGTATAATTAGCATGAGCTGAGAGAAAGAGAATATTAATCATCTAAGAAAAACTCCCCTGAAAATATTCAGTGGTGAAGGAAGAGGGTTTTAGTCTGCTACACCTCAAACACTGTAGGAAATAAAGTCAGCTGTTGCTTGGGAGCATATGTTATGCAGGAGTACTGCGGAGTCATGCCCCGAGGAGTAGTTATCGATAAGGGCATTCAAAGGATGGAATGAAGTCACAAATGGACACAATCCATTACTTTTTATTTACTTTACCAGTCTCACCTAATTTGAAGTCTGGTAGGAGGGCGTCTTAACCCAAACACTTACATGGTTGTCTCCTAAGGCAAGAGTGTTTTTCAGAGAACCTGGCCGTCTAAGTTAGTCTCCTATACTAAAAACAGGGTAGGTTTAGAACTATTTTTCTTTCATATATTGCAAATTCCCCAAATTTTATGTAGGCATTCTATATTCTAACATAATTACTAAAACTCTGTCAAGAACAAGTGAAAAGTAGCTTTTAGACAATGAGGCTGTGAATGCTTCATTCTGTTTGCACAAGCAGTAGGGAGACACAGGGAAAGGCACTAGGAGGGCACAAGCGCTCTGTTCTGCAGCTTTTGCTAGCACTGCGGGACCTGAGCGGAGATTCCCACAGTGCTCTACCCACAGCTGATCAGAGCCCAGTGAGCACTTTCACTAGGACACATTTAAAAGCCTCAAGTTAAGTCAATACAACATTTAAGAAATCAGCTTTTATTGGGAGCTATTTAATATTGTACAGATATGCTAACGTGCACTTTAGGTCAATAATCTGCTGAAATGATAACCTTTTTGTTAAGTAGATTTACTGCCAAATGGACAGGGATTTGTGAATATCTTTCTCATACTGGGCTTTTCTTTCAAAAGGAGCCTTGGATCTCCCTCAGCAAAGGACTGTTAGTATGGGCTTTGGGCCAGAAGAAGAAAAAATATTTTTATTACACAGAACTAGCTGCTACAATTATATTTGTTAAAAAGGATTCTAACTATAAACTAAGTCAGAAATATAGGTTAAATAATGGACATCCATTGTCATATGATGAACAAGGACAATATAAATCATCAACATGCACTTATTCTCTTTACTAATTACATACTTACTGTAGATTCTAATTATATATTCCTCACAATTTATCATAAAAATTAGTTTGATATATTATCATCATGTTATTATAAGTAGTAGCCCTTCTTTAGGAATTGGTCCATATGGCTCTCATATTTTCTCAACTAGAATGTAAACTCTTGAGGTTACAAGTTATATTTTAAATGTTTTTGTGCCTTTCCATGCCTGATATAAACAGAATACTGTAGATTAAAACTCTATACATAAAACTCTATAATAGAATATAGATTATTTTAAAGAAACACAGTACACTGGGGCACTGAGAAGAGTTTGACCCCCAGAATCATAAAGCACTAGAATGTAGCATGACATGAAACTGTGCAGGGTATATAGTCCATGGCCCTGAAGTTTGTTAGGAAGAGAACACATCATGTCTGATCTAACATGGCTCATACCAAGGGTCAGGTTGAGGAACTCGGTCTTGCAGGCATTTCTCCATAAAGACAAGTTTCCCTGGAGTGACTCAGAAAAGCAAGCAGATGCCAAGGGAGAGAGGCATCTCCTTCCATTAGGAAGGAAAAAGCCAAAGACTTTAGCATTGACTACACAGCTGCTCTTCTTTCTTCCCCTCTTCCAAGTCTCCCATCTCCCATTACGTTAGTCAGCTATACATCACTGTGACCAAGTTCCTGAGAAAAACAGCTTATGGTAGGAAAAGTTTATTTTGGTTTATGGCTTTGAAGACTTCAGTTCATGGTCACTTGGCTCCAGTGCTCCTAGGCTTGTGGTGTGGCAGAACACAGTAAAAGTGTGAGGTAGAGGAAAGGTGCTCACTTCAAGGCAGCCAGGAAGCAGAGAGAAAGGGAAACCGCTATGCCAGAATGAGCGGTGACCCTCCAAGGAGCCACTGCAATTTGAACAAACCTTGTTGCCTGTGAGCAGGGGCTGCCCAGAGGTCTTCCACAGCAAGCAAGCATGCAGATGCCTGAGTGGGAACTGAGGCCCCAGCTGCTAAGTCTTCTTCACCTCCCATGGTGAGAATATTTAAACTCAGGCAATGGCAGATGCTATACATCTGAGCTTTGCACCTGAAAAGCAGATTATCAAGCATTTACCAGCAGCACTTTACGAAGAGCTGCATGTTTCAAACGGAGTTAGAGATGATTTTGTTGGGAAGGCCACAACTATCTCTGAAAAAATATTGAAGCGGTCAAGGGAGTTTCTCTCTATCCCCCCACTCCTAACTCATGCTATTCAGGTGTACTGTGTGAACTGTTGGTTAAGTGTCTGCTGATGTTGCTTCATGTATGACTCAGGCTTCAGCATTATCCTTCACAGGGGGGCTCTGTGAAAAGCAAGTGACAAGATAAGCACAGAGGGGCCACTACAAGAGGGGCAGGGGCAGCACACTCCGGGGCTCTCCTTCCCTCCTGACCATTCCTTTACATTCCCACTCAGGCATCTGCATGCTTGGCTTGCTGTAG